CCGCACCACTGTCGCCTCCCAATAAATGTGTACATCTACATGATATTGGAAGGACAAGTAATATTAAATAATAATCAAAACCAGAACAAACATATACAAAGAGAAAAGAACAGGTCCAAGAATGAAACCCCGTGGCACACTGTGTGACAGCGGGGAACAAGGAGAAAAATGGTCCCCAAGCACAACCTAATGAGAGACGATGATTGTATGATGCAAAGGCTGCTGTAAAGTCTAAGAGTGCTAACATAGCAGGGCATCTGGCCTCAATTGGTAAAAGAATACCTCTATAAACCTTTCAGAGTGCTGATTCGGTGCTGTGCCGAGATCTAAAGCCACACTAAAATATCATAATCCTCAAAAAATGTCTGCAGCTGATTAAAAACTAGTTTTTTCTAAAACTGTAGAGAGAAAAGAGAGCTGGGAGCCAGGTCTAAAATTAGAAAACACTCAGGGATCCAAATGAGATCTTTTAAGGAGAGACTGTACCACAGCATGTTTAAACACAGCAGGGACAGCCCCTAAGCTGAGACAGATATTGATAAAAACCAAAAAGCAGAGCCCAACAGTATTAAACAGTTGTTAAACAATTGAGCTGGAATTACATCAAGAGGATAATGAGTGGTTTTCAAATTTTGCACGACCTCAGTGAGAAGTGAAAGACTAAGTCACCCAGCTGATTAAAAAGAGCAACCACAAGATATTAAGGGAGATATTATACTAAACCTGCTGCAAATTACCATCAGGCTCAGAAAATATTGCAGCACTGCCGTTTTTTTAGCAGTGTATTTACCAACACTGATGATGCAAATGAGCACAGCTGCAGCTGTGTTCATCTGAATACACCTCCACTTAGGATCTGATGCCTGTAGGCTGTTGCACAAGTGTGGCCCAAGAGAAAGTGTAGAAGAAAGTGCAAGTTTACAGCGACCAACCAAATTAATCTGGCTGATAGGGGTGTAAAGACAAACCGAAACAAATCGGAAAATAAATACAACAGTCAGATTTACAGTTGCATTGGTCAAAAACGAGAAATTTGAGCCAAATGTGTTTAAAAATGGTCTAAAATCAAAATAGACCTCATAAATTGATCCTTTGGAGGTTTCCTGTTATTCCTCCATTCTACTGTGTGTCTGTGTGTGTGTGAGAGAAAGAGCATCTACTTCTTAACAACAGAGGTTCAGGAAAAACAAGGTACAGTACAGAAAACTGCAGGAGCAAACAGCGCTAGCAGCCACTTCAGAGTGCAAAACATGCAGCGCTTGTGTCGGGTTTACTGCAAATACCACTGACCTCGCTAGTACCAACCATTAAAATAATGCCCAGCACCAAGGGCTCCATGTTACAAACTAGTAACACCACACTGACACCATGAGTCAGGGGTCACTTCTCAGCTGCTTATTCCACCACCACATGATCAAGATGCAGAAGATAAACAGTGCACTTTGTTGTGCAGTGGAAAACACAACCACGCTAACTCGAGAGCAGCTCAGTACAGGCTCCGCTATGCACAGCTTGACTCAGCAGGGCTGATCTGTGTTGCTGTGACTATGAACCTCTCATGCAAGGACGCCCTCCTTTCATGACTTACTGTTCTTTTCAACACAATCATAAGAGTACTGCGAGCACAGGATTTCAACTTCTTTCTGACACTTGTCTGACAGACACTAACAGCAAAGACAATAAGAATGTGATGGCATAATCTTAAATACAGTAGTTGGCCAACTTATTTCTACTTTTATCTAAAAGATGCAAACCACAGTCCTATGGAACTACAATGTACAGATATTAAAATATGTTTTTCTACCAAGTGTATCACGAATGATGAATCAGTTATATATATATACTACAGCATAGATAATGGATGGCCAGGAGTGACGTTTGGTAAGCCCTCTTCCCCCTCCGGCGTCTCCTACAAGTTCTGAAAACCCACCAGCTAAAATGACCAAACAGCTTCCACTATCGTTGAAGATGGGAGAAAAACTGTCCAGACTGAGCTGTTGGCTGTTCAGAAGTTCATCCATAGTAAAAGTAAAGTAAAGGGGAAAAAACCAAGTGAATATCGTTGCTTGTGTTCAGATTGTCACCGGAACTCAGAAGTGGTTCCCTATTTTAGCAGGTGAATAAGCAAAAACCTCAGAAGATGGAGCACCAGCGGTGGAGTATGGATCCAAGTAATGATGGTGAAGAGGGAAGATGGCAGCCTAGGGGAGAAGACAAGATGTATTCAAAGGAGATGGGAAACCACAAACTGAGGGGAGACTGCAAAGAAAGTGGACATGTTGGTAACACAAAAAATAACTAAGGCGCTCTTTGGGGAAATGTGGTAAGCAAAGGGTTAATTCCCTCTGGTGGTGGGACAGGAGAAACCAGTAAGCCTGAACTGGTCAGTATGAGCTCTCCTTGTAGACTGGAGATGGAGTGGTAAGAGGTTTCCTGGAGGTATGCACAAGTGAGAGTCTTCTTTTCATAGCAAGGTGCCAGTGAATATAATCTCCTCTCTCAGGAAAACAGATGAATATATTTCACTCCACAAGAACATAAGTATTACTTCTCTCCACAGGGAAACATGAGTGAGTATTATTTCATCCCATAGGAGCTTCAGTCTTAAACAGGTAAAAGTGCTCAAATATCAATAATCCAAAACTTCAGTGTGCATGCACAGAATAGGTAGCTGAGCTCAGTGAGGTGATTATGGAGAATAACTTAGAACACTGAGTTACAAAGCCAGGCGGGAGTGAGGCGGCCTCATAATCGAGGCAGGAACAGGTCAGGAAGACAAGCAGACAAACCAGCATCAGGTTCAAAGGGCAGTCTGAGCCAGAGGTCCAACTGAAGCACTAATAGGTAACACATATGCAGGCACGGCTGCTGCAGCAGCAGAAGAAGTAGAAACAGTTTAGACGTAAAAACACAGGCACATGGGTGTCAGGTGACAAAGTGGCTCAGTAACTGTGCATACAGTGATACCTACCTAGTGACTCAGAAGTAAGAGTGTGCTGGTTATATAGAGTGCCTAACAAGCCAAAGGAAGTCACAGCTGGATCATGACATTATGATGACTAAGGTATGGATAGATTTGAAATACAGTAGATATAATGACTATGATCTCTGAGGACACTGAGCAAATTCCAGGTGCAGCTAAACAGATAGAACCTGACCTATATGATGTCCTCTCCAATAATAACACCTGGAAAGGTGACAGATTACACAGGTACACAAGAGGCAAAACTTGTGCCTGACTTATGAATCATATTAAAATCTGATTTGACTTGAATAGGGAGCCAGTGAGAGGAAGACAAAATGGGAGTAATGTAGTCATTTTATGGATTTAGTTCAAATTTGAGCCTTGACTTTTAGAACCAGTCTGAGAAATCTACTTTAAAGCAACGTAGACAAATTGAGGCTTACTGTAAACCAGTCCTAAATAAAATGATCCCACCTGGGCTCTTCACAAGGAAAATTGGCCTGTGGTATCACTTGTCAGCTTTGTAACATCAGATTTGCACAGTCTTCAACTTTCACCTTTATAGACACTACGAACAGCTTCAGCACTGGTCTAAATAATGGGCTCATTTTTTTTACTTGTCTGAGCAAAATGTTTGAAATAATTTTCATTCATTTTCTTTATTTTTGACCAACCAGAATAGACTCAAATCTTATCCCTTAGTACTGGGAGGGAAGCAGAGCTCATAGGTACAAATCAGCTCATGCTCAGAAAGGAAGGGAAACACAGTGACCTCTGTTACAAAAACACTGATGCTGGAATTCTTAGCATTGCTAAATGTTATTAAATTATGAGGCATTAAACACATTCTTGGGAAGCTCACACTTAATGTCCTAAAATGAAGACAAGTTTCAGCCTTAATAATTTTACACTGGTCGGCTGGTTAATTAAGTCAATGGTCAAATCTTATGAACACAATTCAAAATTATTGACTGTATGAATTAAGAAGATTTTTAAAATGTTGATTCTAATCATCCCTTTGTTATATACAAGCCTATATATAATGCACGTTTGTTGTCCTCACACAGTCTTTGTTGTTCCCAACTGTGCAATGTTTACATGTGGTCTTCAGAGATGAGCACTGTAAACCCATCAGAATACATAATCACCCTATTTTAATCATGTGTCTCCTCCAATTATTCGCATGACCCGCTTAGAGATGCACTAAATGCATTGCATGTCTGCAACAGAGTAAATCTGGCCCTGAGAGTTTACAGCCACGTCGGCATCTCAGTGAGGATGTACAGTACTTAGGCAAATCAGTGTGTTCAGTTAAATGATAATGTCAGCGTGTTAACATGCTCAAAACATGCAGGTTCAAAATGAATATACTCATATATACACATTAGTATAATTAGCATGAGGTGGACCTCTACTATGGTCATATCCTGCTGGTTGTCTTCTCCTGTTATTTAACCTGTACACATGTGTTTGCATCTACATGCATACATCTGTGTACACTGTTTTGTTTCCACAGAGGTAATATTGTTCATGACAACACCCTATTCCATGATATCTGACATAGGCTATGTTTCTGAATGTTTGACTCTGGCACAAAACAAGCAACAGTCACCTCCAGCCAATCCAGCTACAAAAGATGTTTTTCTGGCTGTGCCGCACAATGCTCTACCCATCAACAGAGAACATATTGTGTTACCTACAAGATGAAAAATGTATGCCTCCCTTTGTGTATGTATCACAGGCAGTGAAATCTCACTGCTGATTCCAGAAGTTAATCACCTTACATCACAGTTTGTCAAACCTGAGTCCATTTGGTTGTCTCTGTGCGTCCGTACTGTTCCTTTGAGGGAACAATGAGGCCGACAAAGTATTTTCTTTAATGGCATATTTGCAGTTGTAAATAGGTTCAGGATGCCTGTTTGTGTCTGGGTTGTTTTGTTTCTCTTTTTGCTCTGAAAATTTTCATGCCAATTTTCAACATTCAGTTTTGTTCATATATGTTTCTTTTCTTTGTTCACTCACTTTCTATGCACAGACTCTGAAGTCATCTACAGGAACAGTGATGGCCACGTCATCAAGTTTAACATCCTCACAAATGAAACAGAGATTGTCCTGACAAATGCAACATTTGTAAGTCTTGAATACTGTGCATAAATTATAGTATTAGTATTTTTCATAGTATATGTATTTATCTCTTTATGTATTTTTCTTTATATCCCATTTCCACTAGACAAATTTCAATGTGGCCAAGTATTCTCTCTCTCCTGACCTGAAATATGTCCTCTTCGCTTATGATGTGAAACAGGTAAGTTCCTTAACAACAATTGTTTTTGCAGCAAGAATAGTCAATGTTACATTTTTCACATGTGTTTCAGACTGGACGAACGTTTTCATAGTTCTTAGTGCTATCGGACAAAGTGCCTCCTTTTCTGTGGGTCCATACTGGATTAAGTGAGAATGATAATAGGAAGCTGTTTTGAGGGACTTTTTTTTATCTCCTACTTCAGGGTAGGTGCTCTCCAAGCACAGTAGAAACCATGAATGATGTACATGACTGCAGCAGTACTAATTGTCAATGCAATTGGCAGGGTAAGGCTCTGCAGAGGGTTATTGGCTTCTTATATAATTAACATTAGCAACATACAGTATAACTTACTGGCAATGTAATGTTGCTATGTCTTAACTGCTGTGAGCTTGTTGGCTAATCACCAACAGTGGGCAGTGATAGTGTCACTACAGTGTTCCCACTGGCGGCACGAATGCAAACTGAAAAAACCTGTAATGTATATAGTTCCTGGGAGAGCTCCCCAGTGGGGTCATCCCTAGAATTAGGACCCTAGAACTGTTTGGTCAGAAAGTACCTAATGCATTACCTAATCCCTAGTTCCTAATACTGTATGTGGAATACTGTAGATAATTGAGAACTATTCTGTTGTCCCTAGTGAAGTTAAGGTGCAGCAGTTGTTTTGCCAGTGATGGAAGAAGTATTAAGAGGTTTTACTTAAAGTTAAATCAAACAATGTAAAGTGATTGCATAATAGGTTAAGGTCCTACGTCTTTAGACTTCTATATTTATAGGTTTTGCATCAGCATATTCATTAATCGTATCTAATTTCAAATTAAGAACTGTCCAAACGCTGTTCTAGTTGAATGCCTGAAAATGAAAGAAATTCAAAGCACATTCCTCACACACACAGTTTAAATAGACAACAGAAAAGCTGTCGCAAGAAGTTCATCAGTAGCTCCATTGCATCCTCGTCACTGGATTTAACTTGTGCTGAGAGATGTTTATTAGAGAAACAGCTGACCCAGTAAGAGCAGCGTAAGCATGATTAACAATGACAATGCTTCCTACCTGCATCAGAGCCAGAATCCAAGAAAAATGACAAGTGTGGGTGAGAATGATGCAGCTACACATGATGCTGTAGGGTGGAAAAAATAGCAATTACATTCACATAATGAAACATTTTCAGCCTCCTCTGCTGCGTCAGTGTTGACGAACCTGTCAGTGACAGCACGACTACTGTATGTCACCGACTATTGTTAGGTATAATACACCCTCCTTATAAACTGGAAATGAAGTTGCATGATTTTAGGCTCAATAATGAAGTGAACACAATGGGACATCAGTCTTCTTCTCTGGTTACATCAGCACATTCAGCTGTATTCCATGTTTTCAAATATGTTCTTATTATGCCATTCTAACTTTTTGCATTAACCAGAGTCTGAAATGACTTGAACTGCCTTTTAAAAATCATATCTGTAAAACTACAGTATACAGTATAAAGTACATCTTGTGCCAGTCTTCTGCTGTACCTAATCAGATTTTACTGTTGTGAAAAGTATTTCACACCCACTTGCACCAGAGGAGATATGAGATTTGAGACCAGCCAGGTACAGCATACAGTGATGAGATATCAGAAGCAGCCTTCCTCCTGTCACTCACATTTTGTACTTTACTTGGTTGTACAGTAAGAAAAGAGATCCCAGGGTTATAAAGACAATCTCATGCTGAAATACTGTACACTGTCAGGGTTGAATAAACATCTACACTATAGTCCTCCGCTGCTTAATAAATCTTGGCGAGGGCAGGGGGTGACTAATACCCCATTGAAGCCCATGTGCGACTGGCAGGTCACATTCATTCAGTAATAGAGAAGCAGGGCAAGCTTGTACCATAATTACCAGCTTTCCATCAGAAAAGAGTAGGTGCAAAATGAGATATGTAAATTGGACCCTTCAATGTGGAAGGGATCCTCTGTGAGGATTAGTGACAAGGCAATTAATCAAATCTGATTTGCATATTTTGCATTAAGGGTTAGAATTTGGAACAAAGCAGCCAAAAGCCAGAAGACCAATTTATTTTTAGCGCAAGGTTATGCTGAAGGAAGAATATTGTGTTGGCCTACTTCTAATCTGGTTAAGTTTAAATGTGTTTTTATTTTTCATTTTGTTTATTGCAGCTTTTTTCAATTGCTAACACACAATTTTGACAACAGGACTCGCTGCATCAAAACTCTTTCACAGAACCACACACCCAAAGTGCAAAACATCTCTCACAATCTGCAAAGCAAAGCACTACATGCAAAACTACAAAAACACTTACCAAAATCTAAGTTTTGCCAAATACCACAGACTTCGCCCAGTTTGTCAAAACACTACACACAGTTAGCACAACTACACACCCAAGTAGCAGAGCACCTCAGCTCTTTAGCAGAATGAAACGCTTCAGTCAAAACTATACAATTATTTTTAAAAGTGCTATTTTGTCATCATATTTGCACATATGATTACAGCTTTTCTGAATTGCTAAAACACGTTTCTTGAAACCACCACTCATTTTCTCAAAACCTTAAACACAAATCCAAATACTCAAACTAAATTCTCAAAACCTCTGGCTCTTCTGGCAAAATCAAACAATTGCTTCAGAACCATGTCACCAGCACTGAAAATCAAACAATGCGTTCAGATCATACACACATGACTCAATCATATATAGTTCCATTGCCTGTAAGAGATTTTCCCTGGTATATGGGTTTCGGTCATAGACCTTCCACCGCCATGCAGAGAAAAACTCTTCTGTTGGGTTGAGGAAAGGGCTGTATGGTGGAAGGTCTTACTCTTCCTCATCCTCTTATTCCTCTACCTCTCATATTGTTATCCATAGTTGATGGATGTACCCGTGCCATCTGTGCACTTTGAACTGGCTTATGATTTGTACCTTCTCATCACATAATTAGAAACAAGTGTGAACACTTTTGAATCGTTGTGTGTAAATGATGACAACTGTGCTTTAGTTGTGTTTAAGTTCTGCTGTCCTCTGTTTAGTGTTTTGCAACACAGGTTCATCACAGTGCGAATTTAGTGAGAATGTGTTTAGAGTTTAGCAAAAAGAGTGCATGAGATTTGCTAACAGAGTCTAAGTGCCTGAACTTGTTTAAGGTTTTGCAGAAAGAGTGATTTTTTTTCGATAAATTGATTTAGGCTATTGAGAATTTGGTTCAGAGAATGGGGCTTATTGTCTTAGCAACTGTGAAAAACTGTAACTACAAATTACTGTAGTGTAATCTGTACAGTCTGACTTGTATGGTGAGAGACTCGGCATGAACAATGATTTCCTCTGGTTTTTAATCAGACCTCATTCTTCACCTAACCTTCATTCAGTACTTTAAACGAGTACTCCACTGATTTAGCATTGTGCTCTGATTATGTTGTCATTCTCAAGTTTGCCAGTTTTTCTTTTTTTTTTTTTGCCTTTGGAAAAAGATGCAGCAGAAACAGAGATGTTGTCTGCTTTATTCCACACACATTCTTCTTCCCTGTCAAAACCTGGTACCTACATTACCTGTAATGCAACTCAACCATGGACACTTCAGCCAGAGATTTGGGTGAGTTATGGTAATAGTGGCTAATCTAGCCTTGAATATCAAGTAGTGGTATCTCATTTCTTTCTAATGCCACATCCTCAGGTTTTATTATTTTCAATTTTGTAGTTTGACATTGAGTCGAGTGACTCCCCAAGAGTTCCCCTGCAATTCTCTAGTCTTAACAACATGGGGTATGCAGGAAATAAACCTGTTTGTGATGTCAAACTTCTACTTCGTACATCCAAACAGCCACCCCAGCCTCCTCCCTATGAACTCTGTGCAGTATAAAGTTGCCAAACATCCTGTTTTACAACATTATGCATGATGTCTGCAAGTGTGTAATCTGCAGCTCACATCTGTGCAAATAAAAATACATTTCAAAATTTACAATACCAATGTGCGCCTGCTTGCATTTGTCTGCTGGTTTGTTACAGCACAATTAATCTAGCTTAAATGTTCCCTTTTTGTATTACATCTTGATCCAGTCTTTGATTTTGAATAAAATATATAAAGCTCCTTCACCCAATAAGATTTTATTGTTGTATTACAATATGTATTAGAAGATTTTTTGTAGCATCCAACTCTGTTTGTTTTGTGCTATTTAATTAGCACACAAAAGTCTGTTTTCATTAAGTGCATTTCTTTCTGGCATGATTGCTTTTTAAAATGTTATTTTAGACCTGCAGCAAGGTTTTAATGGTAGGTTGCTGTAATCCCCAAGCTTTGATCTACAGTATGAATTATACCATGAAGTCTGTGCCTGCAGTACATTAACCTGTAATAAATGATGAAAAGAACAGCAAAGAGAACTGGTTCTGCTCTAAAATTGATAAATTATGCTCCTTCTAATCAGTCACTTTGATCCCATGCAGACTTTGAACTGAAATGTTGTTCTATACTGCAGTCTTTGTACTTGGACTTCATTTAATGGTTTTAGCTGGTTATATGAATCTTTTATTATGTGAGTGAAGGGGTCTCCTGTTACAAGGTGTAAGAGAAAGCTCTCGTAGCTTCACCTGTCTGAGGGATTACATACCACTATTGGACAACATCTGTCTCTGGTCGTGATTAAGCTTGATAGGATCTCAGTGTCTAGGATTCCTCTGTCGCTGCTGACAACATGCTTGTATCCTGCAGTGTATTGTCAGTGCAAATTATCGCAGCTGAGTAACTTTTCACATGCAATTTTCTGTCTTTATATCTTGTGAGTGGACTGGTATTATCAGTCATATGTGTCAACTCTGGTGGGAGACATCTATTACATGTTCTTTCCATCTCTTCATGTGAATATTTTCTGGTGCTTTTCCACTGAAGATGGAAAAAAGAACTTATTAGCTTTAAGTTATAATGGCACAGGCATGTGGGTTTGAGGCTGACTGGTTTCTCACTGATTCTGAGTGACAGTCTTCATTGTTTGCATGTCATGTCATGAATGCGT